GATGAATATAAATTGAGATTTCTTAAGAAATTACAGAGCCAGAGGCCGTATAACGACATGGAAACTTAAGACGGTGAAATTGATATTACAGACCCCCAAACATATGTTGACATCGTAAACGTGATATATTTTAACGGCGGGCATAAGAATTTGGGTGTAACTCAGGAAAGGGGGCTGTTTTAGAGTGGTTAATTGAAGCAACTGAGAACGCAGTGGAGTCAACGCAAGAAGTGAAAATCGTGCCCGAGAAAACCCCGGAGTGAAATATATACCCCCATCAACACATTTGGTCTCTGACATTCCTCGATAACGTTCGTTCTTTCGTTCTACCCTTGTTTTCCTTCTCGTTTCCCCTTCTATTCAATTTGTAATAAACATTCGCACCCTTCCTTATTTTGTCGCCTTGTGAATGTCTGGACGAAGTAAAGAGAATGGTTGAGCCGGATGATAAGATTACTCCAAGTGGATCTGTAGCTAACGATCAGGAGCCCAGTTTGAGACTACAGGAATTCCACTACACCGAGAATCTCAAGCAGGAAACGGGCCAGACAGCTACAATTGTGATATCAATATATTAATATTTGATATGTATCAAATGTTAAAAATTCCACCCTGCAGAAGGAAGCTATAAAACGCATAACAATTACGATTTTCAATAGCTACACAGTCACATATTTTTATGCAGGCTTATTGGTGTATGAAATATGTGCAATAAGGGAGATATCATTTGTTTTCTTTCCTTTACCTTCCTTGTACGAAATTAATTTAAAAATTGATCGCGTGGGACATCAGTTAAACAAGGTACCAGGTACGGTTACAGGAATTCGACGCGGGTTCTTCGGTGTTAAACATTTGATTGGATCTGCATTTCTCTTATTGACAAGAGAAAACACATGTCATCTTTTACGATCAGATAATTTTCTCCTGGCATTAGTTCTGTGTTTTGCAATATTACTGTTCCACGTGTCTCAAAGTCTGCCTAATGATATGCCTTAACCGAAAGAGACGGTAACCGCTCCCGCAGCCTAAAAGATATAAAAACGGTAAGTGAATAATCTGAAACCGGCCAATTAGCTTTTGCACCATCTTTAGGAAGATTTTTACCCTTAGAAGTC